AAATTCTAGTAGGACCTGCTTTGGATTCAATTTCACATTTTAATTTTCTGCAGATAGCTAAAGGTTTGATAATACCATAAATAGTTTGTGACTTTTGTCCCTGTCCAGCTGGTTGTATATAACCCTCCATATTGTTTCAATTTATAAATTTGTAGTATTTATTAAGTAATTCTTTAATTTTTTTTTTTTTAATTCGTAATTCGATTGTATTATTATTTTTAGAACTTGCGTGAAGCAATGCGGGAGAACAGATGTGTGGGGAATACATGCATAAACCACTGTAATCTCACATTCGACAGAAACTTGAGGCGGTACATTGATCAGCCACTTTACGTAAAGTGGAAAAGATGGGAATGCCAAAGTGAGTGTCGTTATCGATGTATGATCTCTAGAGAGGACGAAAGACGAGAACTTGGATACAAGCCTCTCAAGTATTATGGGAAATGGCCATACAAGCATGTTCATGGGATTCAGGTAAATACTTCTTTTTTAACGATACACTTTGAAAGAATCTGCTTTTGAAAAAGTGAATCATCTTAGTGAAGTGAAAAGTAGTTGAGAATTTGAAGTTTTGGGTGTTTTGAGAGAAAAAAAAAAGGGTTTATATCTTTTTTGTACTAGGAGAAGAGACTATTATTGAGAACAAACAAAGCCCCGAATAAATTTTAAGGCTAAATTACAAAATACAGTCAATATCTTGTACGCGGTGGCAATAATAGCCACCATCATCATGAATTTGTAATAGTACCCAACAATCTAAAATTAGGGTTTATTACCCAAATTCGACCAAATCTGACAGATAAATTGCAAATATAGCCAACATTTTTTTGCACGGTGACAATAATAGCCGTCAAATTTGGTCGGACATGAATAATTAATAACTTCGAAATTTTAAAATTTGTTAGCTAGTATTGCCAATTCATAAAGATGGTTGCAATTATTGCCACTACATACAAGATATCGGCTATATTTTGCAATTAAATCAAATTTCAATCACATAACTTACTTGGCCCAAGTAAAGTAGAAAGTCTACATTACCTAATTACAACTGAATTGTAATTTATTATATACTCAGGAGCCCGTTCACGGATGGGTATCATTTTTTTTCCTCGTGAATTGGAAATTGTCATCTGGTCCAAAGAAGAGGACATATTACGGGTCATGGTTGGAGCTCCAATACTTGCTTTCATGGCCACACATATCCTCTACCTCAACGTCTACCAATATGACCATCGTAAGTTCACTTTTTATATTCGCATTTTTTTTTTCTTGCTTTGCTCTTAGGGTGTGTTTGTAAAAGAAATAATTTGAGTGAATTAACTCAAAGTGAATTTTTTTATAGTTAATTATGGTTAATTTATAAAAAGTGATATAGTCAGTTGTTGATGGGATTTTGAGTTTATATTAAAATAATATTTAAAATAAAATAATTAAAATTAATTTGATGTAAAAGTAGGAGAGAGATAATATGAAGTGATGAATAGTGTATTAAAGTTGATATATATGGTGTGTAAAAATGATTAGTTGTTATTATTTAATTATATTGATAATATTGATGATAGCGGAGTTGAGTTAAATTTTGAGTATGAATTAATTTGGATTGAGTAAATTCTTTAACATAGCCTTAGTTACCACACTTAATGTACTAGTTAACATAGATCCCATTGTATTCCGAAAGTTCGCGGCATTTCTATTATTATATTATTTCTATACATTTATTGAACATTTTCATATCATAATTTTATTATTCTAAAATTTATAAAAAGAATATTTCATTTACAATATACGATTAATATTTAGTTTTTATTTAATTGGAAAAAATGTATGTTAGGATTATTTTAATTTTTTATTAAGGTTTTAGCACACTGGTTTGATGAATAACTTTTTAGTTTTCATTTTAATGTTCTTTCAAATAGTTTACACTCGATTTATACTTATTTTTCCGTACAAACTTTTCCAAATAAAAATTTAATAAAATATTATCTTGTATTATTTTGCCAAAAAAAAAATATATTTTATGTAATTTTCTATCGATTGGTTCATCTTTTTCTTTTTTAACTGAAAATAAATAGTATATTATGTCATATTTATAATTTAAAACTTCTTAGTTTTGAAGTCACGGTATTTGAAATAATTAAGTATTCTCTATGTTTTGAAAAATTATATTATGAATATTATATTTTTTTTCTTTTCGAACTAATAATACGCATTGCGACTCAAGAAACGGCCGCTACTCATTCATTTTATCCTTTAAATTATTGTCAATATTTTAAAAGTTGATAGACGGTGTAGGATGAGGCCTAGATCTTAGAGTACCTAGACAAGATTATAATATATTATCATACATAATTAATAAGATATATTATATAAATATATTAATTAACATTTGACTAGAGCTGTCAAAACGGGTCCACCTGTAGCCCACCAACACCCGCACTTTGGCGTGGCGAGATGGGCCGAAGAAATGCAGTCCCCATCCATGCGCCTTTGGGCCGCAGGTTTGGCTGGCAAGGCCTGCCAATTTGTAGAAAATTTAAAAAGCCCAAACATCATTTACTCACAGAGTCGCGGATAAACAGATCCACATTTTCTTGAAACAAAACTCCAGAAATTTTATAGTGCCCATATAGGCACCATATGGTGCCATAATCTCATGATCCAACGCCTAATATTCATTGTGGAATTGATAGAATGGATATTAAGCGTTGGATCGTAAGATTTATTGCACCATATGGTACCCACATGGGCACCATAAATTTTCTGAACAAAACTCTCACAAAACCTCAAAGGTCAAATTAACAATTGAATATAAAATAAAATATTTTATTATTTTAAAAAATGAATAGAAATAATTTTAAAAATATGGACGTCTAGGGGCTGTCAATACCACGCCGCCTAATTGCCGAGTGTCCGCGTACCGCATAGCCTACCTAGACGCCACCTAATTGTCTGAGTGTCTTAAATGAACACTTAGGCAAAAGTCATGGTGACCAGGATGATTATTAAAACAAAGATTCTTATATACAACTAGTTTTATATTATTAACATAAACATTTCAAACCTTTATGAGAAAAAATACATTGAAAAAATAGTAGGACATTAATTATTTTAAATATTTTCTAGAATTTAAAATAATACTATAAATTTTTCACTTTTTTTATTAATATATTTTATTTTTTATTTCCCACTAAGAATTTTATTTCTTTTTCATTTTTTGTTGCAAAATTAATTTTTTCTCTCAAAAACACCCTTTTAGTTCACGGGCATTGTACTAGTAGGTAAGTATAAAACAAAATTGAATACATTCTACATCAATTAAGATCTATCGTATACTCTCTTAAAATAATATAATATTTAATTCCCTAATAAACTAAAATAAATAATTGAATAAAAATCGTTTTCATATTTTTAAGTAATTAATTACATACAATATATCTAATTATTCTTTTCTTAAACATTTTTTACTGAGCGCCAATATTTTTAGATATAAAACAGAATATTGATACCTTTTTTTAAAAATAAATAATTAATATTATTTTTCCATTACCTATTTTCTTATAAATAATATATTAAACTAGTCCTATTTTAGCAACTTTTAATTCATAGGTACATTTCTATATAAAATAATTGTTCCTTTGATATAAAATAAAATTAATATTTATCTATCACTATGAATTCAAAAATAATGAAATCCCTTAATGGTTTTCATAAAATAAATCAAATGTATATTCTGTAAACTGTTTAGCATAAATCACTTAAAATTAATAATTTTTGTCTATATTGTTTAAAAATGTAGTGTTTGGTTTGAGGGATTGGAGGGCAAGGGAGGGGAGGGGAGGGGAGGGAGAATATTAGTTTTCTCTTGTTTGGTTAGAAAATTAGGAGGGGAGGGAGAGGAAAATTTTAAGTAATTTTCCCTCCCCTCTCTCACTTTTCCTCCCCCTCCAAAATTGGAGGGATTTGGAGGGAAAATGTTGTAACATGATGTGAAAATACTATTTGGTCCCTACTTTCAATTGTTTTTAATTTTTTATCTTATTTCATTAAGAAAAAATTTGTCATTTTAATTTTTTTTTCCCTTCCTTTAATTTTTTTACTAAACAAGGTTTACCATTTTTCCTTCCTTTCCCTCCTGAATAATCCTACCAAACAAGGTAAAATTATTTTACATCACCTCCCCTCCCCTCCCTTTCTCTCCATTAAAATCCCTCCCCTCCTTTCCCCTTCATTGAACCAAACACACCCTAAAAGTATTGTCGTTAACAAGATACAAAGGGTATACACAACAACTTTAAGGCTTAAACATGGCAAAATTTCATAAATGTCCATCATATAGCCTAAGGCGCCACAAAAAATGGTCCACTTAGTTGTCACTTTAATCAAAATTCGTACAAAAACCAACATAGTGTACTAACAGTGATTGCCACTTTTAGTATAATATGTTGGCTATTGTACGAGTTTTGATGAAAACTGACAACTTAGTGGACCATTCTTGATGACACCCTATATAATGGACCTTTTTCGAAAACTGACAAAAATTAAAAATGAATTTAGCATCTGAAGCATCGAGTACATGTATATGCTTGAAAGGATAAACTAGGGGCTCTTTTATCAATATAATGAACCCAGTTTAATGATATCATAGCGCACCATTTGCATAAGTGTGTCAAATTAGTGGATCATTTGTAAAACACTTCCTTATAACTATAAAACTCTTTTTGTAGGATTGAACACGAATGTGTGCTTGCTAATGAATGTGGTCACTATAGGATTGAACACGAATGTGTGCTTGCTAATGAATGTGGTCACTATAACCTTGTGGGCCGTGTGGGCGGGCATAACTCACCACCCATCCCGTTGGAAGCTTTGGTCGATTGTACTCGGACTTTTTCCCTCGATGATCTTGATGATACTAGATTTTCCTCCTTATCAAGGCTTTATCGATGCTCATGCAATGTGGCATGTGACCATGGTTCCTATTACCCATGTATGGTGGGGTTTTATTCGGGATGACTGTGAGTATAGGACTGCAATTCTGACTGGGAAAACAAAGTGTTGCTACTAGCTAGCTAGCTTGGTTTTACTAATTTATATTTACTGATTTTAGTGCAATGTTGTACGG